TGCACATATCAGAACCGCACTTGAGATTAAGTTCTTCCTTCCTGGGACTCTTCCAGCCACTTTAAAGCCACAGAGGGTGCTTCAGTTCTTCCAAGCACAATACCTTGTGCTTGGTACGTGGTATTTTGTGAAGTCTCGTAACTGTTGTTCCTCTGCCTACCTTGCAAATATTCCTTGCTTTTCCACAAAAAGCTTCCACCCCATTCCCCCTTCAGATTTTTGGATGAAGATCCGAGTGTACTTCGTTCAGGCCTTTTTGTTAACACATGCACTAGCCAGGAAGCTTGTCTTAGCTCCTTGTAGAAGTGAAATAGTACTGCATAACGTTTGTCTGAAATAGTCACATATGAAATAAAAACCTGAAGTACACTGTTTCTAATTTAGCAGTGATATTTTGCTCTTTTATAGCTTGTTTTTCCTGTTTATGTTTGGCTACTGAATTATTCTAGGTGTTGGTACCTGGCTGTGGACTAGGCCTTTGTGCTTGGTACTGCTTAAATACAGAGCAAAAGAAGGTTCCTGATATTTCTTACTGAGTTAGTCTGCCTCCTTTACCTATTTTGTGACTGTCAGCTGTTTTGTGTTACCAGCATACTAAGGATGAGGGATCTCTTCAGGATTTCTTGTCACTAGGTTTTTGATCCATTTTCTGAGGCACCTGAAGATCCTACATGGATATTTCTTATAAGGACATTGTTGATCTTTGTTTTCAGTAATCATTTATTCTCTCCATCCAGCTCTAAAGTGTAGATGATGTGTAAATAAGAGATGTTCCAGGTGTCCTCTCTTAGGCGTCAGCTTTTGATCAGAAAAGGATACCTCATTTCCAGAATAGCATTAATGTCTAAGTGATGATTTGAGATGCTGCTTAATCCCAGATGGGTTTTTTTTGATTGTGATGTCCACAATCAAGGATGTACCAGCAGTGTTGTGTATATTGCACTTAAAATTGGAGTTACTTACTGTAAATGGAAAAGAATGGAAATGCTAAAAGCTTTTTGTAGTCACAAACTAATAATACCAGACTGTCTCCACTAGCTATGGACAAATTCTCAAGAAACTTGCTAAATAAAAGGAATTTTATTTGCTTAAAGGTTTTCTTAAGATCAGGTTTGTTGGGTTCAGGTATCAAGCAGAGTTTGCAAAGTAAGGTTGAGCTTAAGTTTTCAAATGAAGATCTAATTATATCCTCAGGTAGTTATGATGTGCTGCAATAGGAAGATCTTGATGATTTCTTTAAGACTGAGGCAGGCAAAAGGGCAGAGGCAGCAAGATGGTGCAGACAGAATAGAGATCTTGTTTTCAGGCAGTCCTAAATTTGCTTTCCTTATCACTTGAGTTTATATATATCATGTTGTATTTGGCGTGTCTCAGTATATTGGACATGCTAATTAAGAAAAAGCATTTGTTTCTTTTGGTGAAGAAGTTGTTAGTGGCATTTTGTACTAAAATAAGCTATTTGATTGAGACTTGTGGCTGACTTTCAAGTTTACAAATGATTATTGCCTGAAGACAAACTCTGTCCTGACTCACTTTGTTATGAGAAAAAACAAAAGGTTTCTTTACAAGCAAAATGAGAATATTCTTTAAGTGGGGACTTTGGTTTTGAAGGAAACACCACAACTTGCTAGGTGCTTTAAAATGTAATGTTTTAATGCACTGATGTTTGTTTAGTGGATATTAATACCTTGGGTTATTCTGGAATAAAATTGCTAGGACATTATCTCCTTGGGTTTGAAGTTCACTTGAAAACACCCATTCCATTCAAATCCTGAACACACCTGCCTGTGCTGCTTCATGTAAATCTCGATGAAAAAATTAGAGCATACAGGTAGCTATGGAGAAGCTACTGAACCATCACTGAACCAACGCAATAGAGTGAGAGCAATGCTTACTCAGTGCCTATAGAGAAAAGGAATTAGTGGAGCCATGATTAATGGCTTGGCTACATTAATATTTTTCACTCTGGCTCCATGAACTGCAGCAGCAAGAGCTTTGAATCAATGGATGTTCTTGAGTTAAATCAAAATTGTGTTACTTTATTGTAAGTTAGTGTTCAGAGCCATGCCTTCAATTCTGCTTAGGGAAGAGAGGGAATAGAAAATTAAGGAAGCATATTTTCTTACCAATTTGCAATCTGTGTTGGAGGATATAAATCTGCTTTGCACTGTGTGGTATTTTTTTGGTTTCCCTTTAATGCAGTTCTAGTATCACCCAAGTCAGATCTGGTTTAAGTCATAAAAAAAGTGACAGTGGGCTCAGCCTTGAAAGCCATTTCATAGCGATTGGCCTAGGAGAAGAAACTGCAAATTGGAGTTGCTTTTTCCATCTAGAAGTGTTAAACTTCACTTACGATTTCAACTACAGATCAAACCTAGAGGAAATGGTACTACTTGAGTATTGCAAATAGGACACAACCTTACTAAAGCACTTGCACTAAGCAGTAAGCTGTTAGGAGTTGGAATTCTCAGACAACAGCATTTTTTCCCATTAGTCTTTACCATCTTTTGAGCTAATTTGTTACTAATACTTCACAGAATTGGCATTGCTGGTCCTCAGCCCTACTGTTAAATATTTTCTATTACTGTGCATGCATTTAAAATGGACCTGGCTCAGCTTTAAGCTGTATCAGATACTGTTTTCACAATTGAAGCAAAATTGCATTCTTTTAGTAAAGAATTTTTAATTATATTTATTGAAGTAACTAAATCTAATATTACTCTGAAATACGTAATTGTACTCTTTGTGGTCTTAAATTTTTTAATACAATTTCTCAACACAAATCCCTGTTTGCAAGTTAAATAACCATTAACATTTTCAAAAACTCTTCCACCATTTATGTGCTAGTACTTTGTCATAAATGGCATTATTTTTATTTTTACTTACTCCAAAAGCATATTCAGTACAAGTAACAGAATACAGCCTGTGCCCAGAGGTGCTCACGCAGTAAAACTGATACCAGAGCCTGGGCAGGAATGGATAGAAGAGCAGGGCAGAACTCGGCACATACTGTAGTTACTTAATCAAAGCCTTATACACATAGTACAGAGTTATAAAATCTTGTGTCTGTAGACAGTGATTTTCTTCTCGTCAATGTGTGCCTTAAGAAATAGCTCTTAATATAAGAAAGAGGAAAGGGACATGTGGCTAAATTAAGAATTTCAAAGTAACAAGAAGTTAAACCTCAGATTCAACCCTTATTTCCTAGTCCTTTATGAGGATTAAAAATAATTCACTGGGCAGGAGTGAGTAGCAGTCAGAAAGGATGACATGAATCACATTCACAGTCACATAGGGAGTGTCTCAGGCCTGGGTGCTGTCTGGGTTGCAGATGAAATACTTGATTATAAAAGACTAAGGATGAGAATGGATACAGCATTTAAAAAGAGCAGTTCATGATTTCCCATACAAAGTCATTAGAGGCTTTAGAGGGAGTAACCGGGAAGAGAGCAATTCACTACCGTGATCTGTTTAATCCTCACCTTCTCCAAGATGGCAAAGAATGCCTGTAGAAGTGCTCTTCAGAGCTTCATTAGGGGTCCTATTATGAGACTTGTAAGTGACTCTGTTAGAAGGTATTTCACTAGAATGGTAATTTCTCATATTTCTAAAGTGTGTTTGAGTATCCCTAAAATGAAGGTGCCAGATAAGATACAGAACAGTGATGCTTTTCTTATGAACTTGGTTCTAAATTTTTTCCAATTCTAATCCTTTTCACTGAAACTAGAGTTAACTGAAACACCTCTGCAGTCACAGAAATGAATACACTTGCATTTAGAGTTTTGTATGTGAAGAGATCAAGATGGTTTTGATTATACAAAGTCCCTGTAACTTGAAGGAAATTAATACATGACATTAAAATACCTCTTCTTCCCCCCCCCCCCCCCCCCCCCCCAGCTTGTGCTGTTTGAAAATTATCATCATTAGTCACTTTGCATGATGTGTCTGACTTCATTATTGCAAGTAACTGTAAATGAGTAATTTGGAATCCCTGAGGTTTATAGGCAAGGTCTGCACTCTTTTATTTTCTATCTTTAGTTTCCTAGTTTTGATCTAGGGCTGTTTAAAATGACACTCTTTGCGTCTGGTAATCTGTGACAGTGGCCAGCCCCAGTACAGGTACCAAAATCCTTAATGATCAGAGCTGCTTTGGTACTTCCAAAAACTCTCCTGTAGATCTTTATATAAACTCAGGCTTGTTTCCATTTAGTTTCTAATTTCTAGTTGTGATATGAATTCTAAATGTCATGATAGTTTTATCCTTTTCCCCAGGAGCTATTTCTGAATTCATTGAGTTTGAAGAGACTAGAGCCTAGCAGCAGTACTTGTAGGTTGTGAAACTGATTGAAGTGGTTTGTACTAGCACTGTTACATGCAGAACTTGTCAGTTTTGTTTTTTCTGAAACTAAACAGTGTTAGTGACTGCCTTAAAGCCTTGCCCAGTAAAAGTTGGTAGAAGTATGAAGATAAAAAGGCTAGTGTGCAAACAGACAGGTAATACTTTTAAGCAGTCTGCATGATAGTGCATATAGAATGGTTGGTTTTGATCAGAGAGAGTTGCGGTAATCACAGCCCATATCCTTCGTACTTTGAGAATTTCTTACTCAGCTCTTCGTAGCCTAGCACTTGCCCTTGATCTCATGATAAAAGGGGAGAATTCTTGTCTTAAAATTCTTAATGGCTGCAAACTTCTGTTAACTCTGCATCGAAAGTGTTTTAAAAATACTTTCAAACTGCAAACATAAAAAGGCTGGGTTTTAGTTGATGTAGATAGCCTTTGGCCTTACGGTACATTAATTTGTTGGTATGAATCAAACCTTTTATTGTTCAAACAAAGCAATAGTTCTGAATTGGCTCAGAAATGTTTAATGATCAAAACCGCAGCTTTTATCCTGTGGGGCGATAGCCTTGATGCAACAGGCCCCTGAAGACTAGGGAACAAAATAACTGACACTTGCTATTTAAGAAGCTTCCTTCCCTTCTCTTTGAGAAAATCCTACCTTTTTGTGGCTGGCTCCACCCTCACTTCCACAGTAACTGTACATGTTCTGCCATTTCGCACCTTCTTAAAGTGCAGATCACTTGATGCTGATTGTTCTGTAGCTGAGCAAGCACTTACTGTAACAATAGCAGCAGGCAGCCTGACAACTCCTGCATACACAAAATAAAGAGTAGTTATTAGTGTTTGGAAGAAGTCTTAGTGGCAGTGCTTGAATCTGGGAATCCCTGTATCTTAAAATCTTAGACTTTGTTTTAGCTGGATAGCCCCAGTCATTAACAGACAGTTTAATTGTATGGGGAGCTGAAAGGGAGGGTTGTCTTCTAGGAGGAAAATACCCAGCTACACTTAGAGGTGTTAAACCATCATCTCTTGTGCTTTTTCCAGTGATTTATATCTCTGAAGGGCTCTAACCAAGCTTTCAGGCCCCAACTTAATAAAAGAATGTATGCTAAATAGCTTGTTGGCTCTTTAAAGCTATAATACAGTACATGGAGGAAACAGTATTAATTTCTTATCCTATCTGCAGCTGAACGCAAGAAACATCTCTCTCACTGAAGAGATACCATTAAATCTGTTGCAAGACTGACACAGACCTTGAAGCTCAACTCACAGTTAGGATGCATCTGCACGAAACATAAATTGAGGGTTTAAGTACTTGAGCATAGGGGGCAAGCTTCATGTAAATACAAACACTTAAAAAAGAGTTCTATCCAGATGCAGCTTATTACTCCTGCAGTAGTCGTTACAGCAGTCTGTTGGGTTCTCAAGTGCTCTCAAGTTTGTCAGCATCTAGCTTTATGGCCAGGCTCATTTAAGAACAAATAAGACAGAAAATGTGGTAGTTTCTTAGTTAATGGTACAGCTCTGATACTGAGTTACATGGGTAAAATCAGACAGAAAATGACTAGTAATTAATTAACAGTGCAAGACTCCATCAGACACATTTGACTTAAACCTTTTCTCTTACTTTCTTTTTCAATAGAAACTATGTTCCAACTTCCTGTCAACAACCTTGGCAGTTTAAGAAAGGCCCGGAAAACTGTGAAAAAAATACTTAGTGACATTGGTTTGGAATACTGTAAAGAACATATAGAAGTAAGTATTACACCTCCCAAATGCTGCAGTTAGAGTTCAGAGCTCCAGAGTCAGTGGGGCTGGGAGGCCTTCGGTGTATGATGATATTTATTTTTTCAGACCTACTTTGCAAAATGTTAAGTTTTTACTTTGAGTTTTGGAGGAATCCCCTGTGTCCTGTTCCCACACCACAGCCCTCAGTTTGCATTGGCCTCTGAGAATGATTCTGGGGGTCTGTCTGAGCCTGGTTGTTTGGGCATTGGTTTTTAAGTTCTCCATGAAGTAGGGCTTAATTTGGGATAAAATGTACCTGTAAACACTCTTTAGAAAGCTTAGTGGAGACAAGATGCACTTCAGGCTCTGTGTGACTGACTTGATACCTGTTGAAGGTAGGTTGTCTTTTGTTTATGTTGGATGCTTTAAAATAGCATTTTCTAACTAAACATTTAGGAATGAAGTGAGAACTCATTGTGGTACAGGATGTTCTTGGGGACAGAAGATGGTCTGAAGTTTGCATGAAGTGTTTGTCACTGCTAACAGTAGGTTAAAGAATTGCCTCTGTACCTGTGTTGGTTCCTACAAGGGAAGAGTATTTGTGCTACTCTTCTGGACAAACACAGTAACTACCCTCTCAAAGTGCAGCTTTCTCCCCTGAGCACTCAACTGTGCTGGCAGTTCAGACACTCTCTGAGGTACTCAGCAAATGATGACCTGTTTGCTTTGGCTCTCCTATTGGTGTCTCTTTAAAGAGCATTTAGGTGAGAGAAGGAAATGCCAGTCCTTCCTGCTTGGAAAATTTGTGGAGCAAGTATCATTTGTAAGGGTAAAATTCTGAACTGGGACAATGTTATTTTCAGTTTCATTTCTGTGGAAGAAGTACTGTTTTTGAGTCCTTATGTGCTGCAGACTTACATGCAACGAGGAAATGCAAAGTACTTTGTGACTTTTCTTAATAGGAATTGGGCTTCTTGGACATCGTACGTGTGATCAACCTTAAAACTTTATCTGAATGCCTGTGTGAAATTAATTAAAACCATGACACCCCCCCCCCCCGACCAAACAATAAACCAGACATCAGAGTTATGGTAAAGTGTCTACATGATCTCAGATGTATAGCACTAGCCCACCTCTATTCTATGACTGCTTGTGAAAAAGGCCAGGTATGTAATTATAGTCTTGGGTTAATTATGAGGATGAGTATTGAAAATAGTTCTTCAAGTGTTTTATGATACTGAGACTATTCACAACTCTTCACCTGCAAAGAGGTGCATCTTCAATACCTACACTTCCTTAATAGTATCTCCTGTCTGCTGGCAGCACTCGAGGATTGCATGGATGCTTGCAAAAGTTGCTTAAGGTAGCTTTTGGTCTTTGGTTTTGATTCTCTGTACTCTCTTCCCATCTCCCCCTTCTCCAGGATTTTAAGCAGTTTGAACCTAATGACTTTTATTTGAAAAACACTACATGGGAAGATGTAGGATTGTGGGACCCATCGCTTACAAAAAATCAGGTTGGTAATAGTTCATGTTGACACATCCCATTCTGAAGGTGGTTCTTACTACAGGGCATTGCACAGAGATGCCAATGGCTTTTGCTGCGGTTTTACCCGTTAATCTTCATTTGTTATCAATTTAAGGGACAGCAAAAGCTGTGATGGTTTTTTAAAGTAATAATCCTGGTCTTTATCTTAGAGGCATGGATGGCCATGTACTGGAGAATTCACTGGTCAAGAAATCTCACTGACCCTTTGACAACTGCATATTAAGAGCCTGTTTTCAAGCTTAGCACAATTTCACCATCCTTCAGATCAGTGATTTTTATACAGCTCGTGATAAGTTTTTTAGCTGTCCTTCAATACGTTCTCATAGTGTGTTCTCATAGTGTGACTACGTCCGAGACTTGGTTTAGGCATAGTAGTTCTATACAGCAGAATTAAGTCTCACTTCTGAGATGTTTCTGTGCCAGAAATAAAGGAAATTTGAATTGAGGTAGAAGTTGAGGGAGGAAATAATTTTGATTCTGATTAAGCACATTTAAGGCAAGTCATGTGCTCTGCAGTAACCACTGATGGTACAGTAGGGTAACACCAGCACTGACAGAACAATGAGGTGGTTAGAAATCCCTCTGCTGAATAAGTTCTCTTTTAGCATTTGAAAGATCAGGGAATGCCTCTACAGGAAATGGGAACCTGCATTATGATGGATTCTTAGGGCAGCGTTAATCTATATCTAAAAATACCCCTTTATTACTGTGCTCCATAGAAGACACTGGTGTGATGTCCTTTAGTTAATTCCAGAATTAAAATTGTAATATGGAAGGAGACAGCTTTTGTTTAGTTTAATTTGTTCTATCTTGTCTCCAGCCTCCCGGATGTTTAAGGCTTCAGAACATGGACAGAAGTGTATATTCCTACTTCTTTATGCAGAGGGAGAGTACAACTCTCCAGCTACTTCAAATGACCTGTGCACAAGATCTGTGCACAAATGATCTATGCTTGATGCGCAAGACTTGTTTTGACACTCATGATGAATGTAACTATTTCAATGTAATGTCTTACCTTACCTGAAATGCCAGGTTGCTTGTGGCTATCTCCAGGGCCAGTGTTAACTGTTTTTTCTGTTACAGCAGTTGACAAGAACCACACCAGCACCATGTTAAATGTAACAAAGGGGGCAGGGGAACTGCAAGTGTGGATTTCTCAAATACCTTTTTTTCTGATTTAAGATTGGTTTTAAAATTGAGTTTGTTTTGATCAGAAGGAAAAGGCTTTGGTGGCTTTGAGGGCTTGTGTAGCCTTAGAATATGAGTTGGTAAACCCATTTGTTCACCAAAAATAACTTTTGAAGAGCATCTTACGTAAAAGCCCTGGAATAGCTAAAGTTATATATCCATCTTCTATCTAGAAAAGTTTGGCAGACCTTGATGGGATGCAACGCATATTTCCTAGATGCAGTCTCACTCTACCCAAACAGTCATGCTTCCCTTACCTCCCAGAATGAGCTTAAAGTGAACTTCCATGCACTCCGCTGCAGGGAATGAAGCTTTTTCTTGTCTGATGGAGAAGGATGTTTATGATTTAGCCTTGCATGTTGAATTTATGGGTAAACTCTTGAGGGAGCTCTGAACTGGCACTTGCCACATCACGTGTATGTTCAGATGATAGACTTTAGGCCCTGATCTGCAGGCCAAAATCTGGAAAGAAGAAATGAATCTAAAGCTTTGAGACTGTTCAGTGGGTCTTCAGACTGTTGCTTAGAACAGGATTGTTAAGAGAAGAGTGTGGATACTGTTTTATCTAAAACCTGCTTTTCCGTATTTAGTTTCTGCTCTGTTCTTTGTTTTAAGGACTATCGGACAAAGCCCTTTTGCTGCAGTGCATGTCCATTCTCCTCGAAGTTCTTTTCAGCGTACAAAAGCCACTTCCGGAATGTTCATAGTGAAGACTTTGAAAATAGGATTCTCCTTAATTGTCCTTATTGTACGTTCAATGCAGACAAAAAGACTTTGGAAACGCACATTAAAATATTTCATGCTCCAAATGCCAATACACAGAGTGGAGGCATCAGCACTTTCAAAGATAAAAACAAACATGATAGCCTTAAACCTAAGCAGGCTGACAGTGTAGATCAAGCTGTTTATTACTGTAAGAAGTGCACTTACCGAGATCCTCTGTATGAAATAGTTAGAAAGCACATTTACAGGGAACATTTTCAGCATGTTGCTGCTCCTTATGTAGCAAAGGGAGGTGAAAAGTCACTCAATGGTGCAGTTCCATTAAGTTCCAGTACCCGAGAGGAGGGGAGTATTCACTGCAAACGATGCCTTTTTATGCCGAAGTCATACGAAGCTTTAGTACAGCATGTTATCGAAGACCACGAACGTATAGGATATCAGGTGACAGCAATGATAGGTCACACTAATGTAGTGGTTCCAAGATCTAAACCTTTGATGCTGATAGCTCCAAAACCACAGGATAAGAAGTCTATGGGCCTCCCTCAGAGGATGGGTCCCCTTTCCCCTGGAAGTGTTCGATCTCTTTCGTCCCAACAGATGATGAACAGACTCACTATACCAAAGCCTACGTTAAATTCCGCAGGAGTGAATATGATGTCAAATGTGCACCTACAACAAAACAATTATGGAGTCAAGTCAGTACCACCAAGTTATGTTGGTCAGCCAGGAGGGAGGCTGAACTTAAGTGGTAGTGCACAGGTTTCTATTCCACAACAATCACAATCAATGAAGCAGTTTTCAACAAGTGGAAATGGAAGGCCTTATACTCTTGGAGGGGAACAGAGATCGCAGGCCTCAGCAAGATACTCTCTTCAGTCTGCCAATTCATCTTCCCTTTCATCAGCTCAGTTGAAACAGGCGTCGTTATCTCAGTCACAGTCAGCCTCAAGAGTATTAGGTCAGTCTGGC